CCCCCCCCCCCGGGACCACATCCCCCCTCAACGCTTGAGAAACCACTCTTCTCTTCCAAAAGCCCCTAAAACCACCGAAATCAACCCCAAATCTGACCCCGAGGGAACCCTCTGCTTCGGGAAAAAGGGCTCTTTGGCCTTGGCGGAGGGTGGGTTCGGGGTGGGGGGGAACAAGCTTGGGGACCGAGGGTGGGGGGAGCCGTGTTGGGTTGTCCCCTCTTAGATGCTGGTGTCGATGGACATGCCCTTGCGCATGACGTGCTCCAGGTGGGCTTTCTCCGAGGTGTCCAGTTCGATGTGGTACTTGGCCAGGATTTTGAGGATGGGGCGAAGCTTCAGCCACCACTGCTCCTTGGGGATGCGGTGCCTGAGAGAGAGAGAGGGGACGTGGTGGTCCCGGGTGCAACCAAGGCTGTGTCACCCTGGGAGGACCTTCCCAGCTTCTGGTTAACAACCCCATGGGGGCTCCAGGCTGGGAGAAGAGTAGCTGGAAAGTGGGTGGAACTGCTGGAGAAAGAGGAGGAGGGAGGAGGACTCCCCTCGGCTGAGGACTCCCTCAGCTGCTCATCAAAAGTTCTCCATATCATTCTCCTTGGGCTCCAACCCCATGGAGGCTCTAGGCTGGGGGAAGAGCAGCTGGAAAGTGGATGGAAAAAGACCTGGGGGTCTTCTGGGGGTTGGAGAAGGGTCTGGAGAAGGAAGAGAGGATTCTGGAGAAGATCAAAAGTTCTCCATATCATTCTCCTTGGGCTCCAACCCCATGGAGGCTCTAGGCTGGGGGAAGAGCAGCTGGAAAGTGGATGGAAAAAGACCTGGGGGTCTTCTGGGGGTTGGAGAAGGGTCTGGAGAAGGAAGAGAGGATTCTGGAGAAGGAAGAGAGGATTCTGGAGAAGGACGAGAAGGGGCTGGAGAAGGACGAGAAGGATCTGGAGAACTTCTGAGGAGCAGCTGAGGGAGTTGGGGGTGCTCAGACATTCCCAGCTTCACTAAGAACCCCATGGAGGCTCCAGGCTGGGGGAAGAGCAGCTGGAAATTGGGTGGAAAAGGACCTGGGGGTGTTGGAGAGGGGTCTGGAGAAGGAGAGGGGTCAGGAGAAGATGGAGAAGGGTCTGGAGAACTTGTGAGGAGCAGCTGAGGGAGCTGGGGGGGTTCAGCCTGGAGAAAAGGGGGCTGAGGGGAGACCTTCTCACTCTCTTCAACTCCCTGAAAGGAGGGTGGAGCTGGGGGGGGTCGGTCTCTTCTCCCAAGGAATGAGAGGAAACGGCCTCATATTGCTCCAGGGGAGGTTTAGGATGGATTTTAGGAAACATTTCTTCCCCAAAAGGGTTGTCAACCATCGGAAGAGGCTGCCCAGGGCAGGGGTGGGGAGACCATCCCTGGAGGGATCTAAAAGCCAGGCTTGGGGACATGGGTCAGTGATGGTTGGTCAGTGTTGGGTTGATAGTTGGACTCCATAATCCATTGGGATTTATCTGTCCCAGGGGAGATGAAAAGGGGGGGGGCACCTACTCAAAATCCGTCTGGTCCTTGAGCTCGGCCACGGGCTGGAAGACGAGGCTGCGCTTGCGCATCCCCAGCAGACAGGCTGAGTCGGCCGTGTTGGCAAAGATCCGACCTGGGGGGGCGAGGGGGGGGAAGAATTTCAACAATTCACCCCTTGGGGTGAAAAAAAACCCACACCCACAAAAACCCTGATGGGAACACACATGGACTTTTGGGGAGCGAGCTCAGGGATTCAGCCACCCCAAGGGTGAACCTGGCATTGAGGGGATGGAGAACGCATGGGTGTTGGGAAAGAGCGGGGGGGTGTTGCTTTAAGGCTTAGGACACCCCCCCAAGCGGCACCCACCATGGCGGGTGCATTCCTTGATCTTCCCGGTGATCCAGGCCACTGCTTTGGCCCCCATTTTGGTGCCGAAATTCCTGTCGAAGGGGGTCGGGGTGCCACCCTGCGCCGGAAAAATCAGTGGGTGAATGGTGGGGGGGGAGAAATCTCCCGACCTGGGGGGGCTGCACCCCTTTTTTGGGGGGGTATGTGTGTGTGTGTCTGGACCTGCTGCATGTGCCCCAGGACGTTTTTGCGGCAGTCGAAGACGCCCTTCCCCTCCTCTGAGTAGAGGTTGTAGATGAAATCCGTCGTGTA